AGATTACTTAAACCACTTCGAGCAAAAACTAGCGATTACGTTAAATAGATTAGTAACCTTTCGAAAGTATACTAAGACATAGAAAAGAAATATAAAAGCGTTGAATACGAGGTCTTTACCGATAAGCTTAAGATTTTCTATGAAAACTGTATACGCTTAAGCATCTTTTAAAGCGATAAGGTAAGCTACGCAATAGCTTTTTCTTTGATGCTTAAAGACGAAGCACATTAATATTATATGATTGATATCTACGGTAAAGACATAAAGTTCTAAATAATAATTGCATTTATAAAGTTTAAGTTTAAAGTCTTAAAGTCTGCTTAAAAGTACTTGTCGGAATAAAGATCACTTACACTTCAATTAATGATAAGTCTTAAAGAAAACGCCGATAAAGATAAAGCGGAGTGCTTTACGTTAATAATCAAAAAGCTCTTTTTTATTCAGCGCAATTTAACCTTTGAATATCACTTTAATAAAGCTTTAAGAAACGTGATTTTAAGCGCGATACAAAGCGTTCTTGAATGCGCGTTTGCTTAATACAATCCCGCACTTACGATTACCGCTTTCGTCTCTTAATTACGATCATCGATTGCTACTATTACGACGACTAGACCTTTTACCGCTTATCTTATTAATGCTATCGAGTCGAAAAACTAATACGAAAATAAGGTTTATTACGTAGACCGCTAGTACAAAAGCAGCGGAAGCAATAAAAGCCGTAGCTACAACGATAATAGCAATAAAGGCTTCAGAAGCTATATTAAAAGAAGAAATGATCGGATTAATAATCAAGGCTAAGGTAATCGAAGCAATTACGAAGGTAATAGCAAAAAAGGAAGAGGCGTAACAACTCGTGCTAATCGCGCTGACAAACGCTGTTTTGTTTGCGGCGAGTTAAGTCACTTTTTTACATAGTATAATAGCGAAGAGCGTAAGAAATCTTACGATAACTAAAGACGTTAAGCTTAATACTATACGAAGGACGTAAGACTTAAAGAGTATACTTATTACTTCGTACAAGTTGAAAGAATATAAAGCTTCGACTAGCAACTTTAGATCACTCTTGATTAATAATCAGCGGCCGCAACTTAATTCTTTATTGAATTAAAAACTATTAACAGCTAACACTTAATAATAGCGTTGCTCGAGAATGCAACTTATTACACTTTTACTTTTATCGACCTATTCAAGCCACTTTCGAATATCGTTCTTTTAAAGCACTTTTTACTCGACCGATACTCGGCTTATAAATTCTAAAGGTTTATTCTCGATTTTAAAGCAGCTAACTTCTTTATTGCAAGAAAGCAATAAGTTAAAGCTTTGAACAAGCTTTTTTTTCTTCGAATTAACCGAAGAACGGCCGACAAGAATACTATTAGGTTCGGAAGCAATACTATACGTATTATAAGCTCCGTAATAGTAAATACTTTTCTTAGACTTATCGAATTCTATATTATTAATATAAAGACTTTTTTCTTTATTTTACTCGAAGATATAAACCGACTTTAAGTCTATTATAACAATCTTAATAATATGCTTGTCTAAAGCAACAAGCGTATTTTAGTAATTCGTAAATAAAGCTACTTATTCTTTATACTACAACTTAAAGACGCTTTTGCGGACGCGCACTTTACGGAACAAGAACTACGCTAGTTACACCGCAGATTCGGCCACTTATCTATTTTACGCTTGTAAAAGGTTTTTGACCTTAGCGGTTACGATAATATCGATTTCAACACTTTAAAAAAAATCGAAAGGTTTTGCTATTAATATCAGATGTATAATGCAGCTTCGAGCCGATACAAGTTTACTTTAAAAGATAACTTAAAGTTTAATTACTTTATTATTATAAACGTAATGCACTTAAACGGTAAACTAGTATTACACGTCGTCGACTTAGCGATTACCTTTTAAGCTAAGCGCTTCTTAAAAGACATGTCGGTTATTATTATTTAAAACGCGCTTAAAGAATACTAGATTAACAGCTACTTCGATCTTTTCGACTTAATTATTTACGACTTAAGAACGAACTTTGCAACAGCTGAGTTCCGCGGTTTAATTAAAATGATGTCTATCGATATCACCGAAATGCTTACGGAGGCTTACAATAGCGTAAGAAAGGTAGAAAGATACTATTAACTTTTACGACGAGCTTACGAGATCATCTCGAAAGAGATGCAAGACTTAAGATTGATTAAAAAGCAGATCTTGCAAATAACAATTAAAGCCGTTAACGATACCGCCGGACTAGCAAGCTTAATACTTACTTTTTTAGTCTTCGGTGCTTACTTTCGCATAACTCACTTAGATCCGCTAGCTCTTTCTGCTATTATTAAAGCAGAAGCTATTAAAAAGGCTATGTCGGAAGTGAAAAGATTATAAGCTGTAAAATAAGTAGCAGACGCCTTGAATATGCGCAACGGACCTTTTACGATTAAGACGCTAGCTTTCCTTTTGCAAAGCTAAGTAAGAGTATAAAAAGAAAAGAAAAAGGACTAGCGCGCGCAATAGACTAGCTTTTATACTTTTATTGCGACGGAAAGCTATACGTATACGATCTAAGTCAATAATAAAGCAGTTTAATTTAAAGCTACGGTAGTTAAGCTATATTATTAAAAAAATACTGCTTAAAAAGAGCATCTCGAAAAAGAAGGATTATTAATAGAACAAGTGAAAGAAGCGCTACGTCGAAGTAGCAGAAACAGACGACCTTTAGAGCGTTATTACACGGAAGCTAAAGAGCTAACGCAATTCTTTATTATATTAAGTGATATAAACACTTTTTTGATTCGGAAAAAGCAAATAGACCGTAAGCTAGCTACGAAGCTACGGGCCGAAAGTGTAATTACTACTTTTAACGAGATTTTCGAAAACTTATAATAGCGTAAGATCGAAGGCTTAATTGCATAAAGCGTATTTGAATTTATTTTATACGATTTTGTAACGCACGCAAAAGAGCGTATTTTTAGCTTTCGTCTTGTTAACGAGCTTAAAGGCAAAGAAACAGCGACTTTATTTAAAAAATCGCGACTCGTTATATAAGCTTTCGCTAACGAAAGAAAAAGAGTGATTCTTACTCAATCCTTTACTATATAACGCTCGAGCTAACGCTTTATTATTGCACTAGCGCTAGCACTTTCTTTATTAAGAATTTCCTTTTACTTTCGTGATATTACGCAAGCTTATACTTAAAGTAATCACTTATTAAATAAGCTTATTTTAGCACGCTTATCGAAAGAGATAGTAAAGTTTTACTTCGAAAAGATAATCATAAGAATCTAAAGAGCGCTATATAAGATTCTTAAAGCAAGCACCTTTTAATAGTTAACGTACTACACTTATTATAAAAAAAAGCTATTTACGATCACTTCGACTTACGACTTTTGCTTTTTGATTTGTATTAAGAAAAGCATGTTTAAGCTCGTAAAGATATAAATAAACGACATTTATTACTTCGCCGACGATCGATTCGCAGCTAAAGAAAGGTCAGAACTCAAAAAGGCCGGCTTAAAAGCTAAAAATAAAACCAAGCTAACTTATACTACCGACATTAAGTTCAATAGCTGTATTTTAAAGCTATAAAAGAACGATACTATGCTTTTTACACAAAAACAGCAAGGCTAAAAGCTCGCTCTCGTCTTCGATAAACTGAACTACAAACAAAAGTACTTCGAGCAGCGCGCACGCGGAGCATATATTGCTTTTACTTATTAACTTAAAGCTTTATTTGCTTTTTCAATAACAGCCTAGCACAAAGACCCCGGTAAAGATAAGGTGGCAGCTCTTAATAAGTGCTTTTAATAAATGATTAGCAACTAAAGCAAAAGGTTAAAATACGTTCTTATCGACCTTCGCTTAGCTAAGCTTTTTGTATTCGTAAATAGCTCTTTTGCAAATAATAAAGATCTATCTAGCTAACTTAAGTACGTGATTATCTTAAGGAACGAAACACGTACGACCGAAAAGACTTTTAAGGTCATAAGCAACGTAGTACATTACAGCTTTACGAAAAGTAAAAGAGTTATTAAAAGTGTTTTAGCTTTAGAAATCCTCGGAATAATAACTAGAATAGACATTACAATTGCTTTAAATACTACTTTAGATCAGATTACCGAACAGCTTTCGTTATTAAAAATACTAATAGTAATAGCTACCGACTCTTACTCATTTTACGAATGTTTAATAAAGCTTAGCACAATTAAAGAAAAGAGGCTTATGATCGATGTAATAGCTTTACGATAATCTTACGAGCGTAAAGAAATCGCCGAGATTCGTTAGATTAACGAGAAGAGCAACCTAGCTAATCATATGACTAAAGCAAATCCGAACAAAGCTTTAGAAAGCTTTATCGATTGCAATACGCTAGAAGTGCGTATTAAAAGATAAGTAAATCGAAAGTAATAAAAGAAATATAAAGTTCGACAGAACTTCAAAACGCAAGAATTTGTATAAGTATAATTAAAGCGTTCTTTATAACAAGTAAAGAACTGCTAGTATCGGAATACAACGGCTTCTATAAGCATGCAACGGATAAGAATAGTGTGGAGGGGAAGAGCTCCGACATATACCCAACGTCAAATCAAGAGATATGTATGAATATAGCCATAATAGAATCGTAGGTGAATAAAGAGGGAAAAAGAGGACGATCGAAGGACACTCGAATGTGTGCTATGAGTACGTGTATTGTATTGTGTAGTGATATGATAGTGCTAGTTCAAGGAAGAACCAACTACTCGTCTATATAAGAGCTTGCACGTAACCTAACCACGTGCCTAGCAGGGCCAGAGCATGCAGCGCACCCACGTGACAAAGGTGCCTAGCATCAGTATTATATACATGGACAAAACAAATACAGAGCCCTAACTCCACCACATACGTCCTCCCTTCGAATCAGACTCGCCCTCGAGTCACCTTCTATCAAAGTGGTAAGGTTAGGTTTGCAAGACGAGCATGTGGCCGAATTGCACGGTCGCAATATAGTCTCAAAGTACTATTCAATAATGCATCGCCGGATCGGTGTTAATACGGAGCGTATGTGATATAACAAAGAAGATAAAAATAGCAACGAAAATGCAAGATAATCCTTCGAGTCTAACTCCCTTTTATATTCTTTGTAACTCACCTATTTAATTACAAGAACAATATCAACCCGAGCGTTGGTATTGTCGTTAAGATAAGCGTACGCCGGTTTAAGCGGTCAGGTGGTGACGCACTGCCGAATCGGTAGTAGCGCGAGGCTTAAAGCGGTAACGTAACAAAGAAAACAAAGGCGGTAGTATACACTCGAGGTCTTGCTATAAACAGTCAACCTTCTTTTTATATCAACCTCATACCTTTCTATCTTTTCTTTAGCATCACTACTTATTAACTTCATCTTCACTATCATGTTGTCGATCTGCTCTCGGTGCGTGAGCTACGCAAGCAGAACTATCGATAATGCTGCGAGTCGATGCATTTTCTTCGCCGATAAATCTATCAAATGCGAGCGTTGCCGTGCTATTAAGTCAACTTGCATCCTCGTAAGTTATCCTACCTTCCGTCTTACACTCGTTATAGTCTTGATGGATGCGATGACGGCTATGGACAATAGAACTGGGACGGCCGACGACGTTTTTCGTGAGGGCACGGTTGCAAATAACCTCTTTATAAAGACCCGCCGTGCTTTTGCCTCCCGTGTTAGCGATGCTTCTTCCTTTCTTCGGGCCCGTGTCGCCGCTGCTTTTTCTGCCGCCGCTAATGCTAGAGGTCCCTTGGTTAGCTTAAGTCCCGTCCCGGCGTTACGCTTATTTGCCGCCGTTGCTACCGCCGATCTAGCTTCGCTAGACCTGCTGCGTTAAATCTTAGCTGCAATAGATCGAAACAATACTTTGCTGAGTAACTTCTTTGGCCGCGTAAGTGTATATTGCGAACCCTTTGTGATTCCTTTCCGATCTGACTACGATAGATTGCCGAAAAGTCCTCGTCTCTTTTATTTTCATCTTCGGAATCGCTAGCACCTTCTTAAGCAAAGAAGCTCCGCCGAAGTGCTCGCTAAGCTTCTAATCGTAGCAATACCGGTGGTTCCTCTTCGCGAGGTTCTAGCCGTAGTAATACTCGTAGTTTTACGAAGGGTTCGAGTCGTAGTAATATCGGTAGGACTTCGAAAGGTAAGAGCAGTGCCCAAGGTGCTGCGAGGGGCTCTCGCACTATTTCACTTAGCCTTAAGTTGTAAGGTCGGAAGGGTTTTTATCGCGTGTCGGCAGCTTGCTAAGTAGTTAATGCAATAGATTTTTCGTATGCTTTTCTTAATCAGCCTCCGAGTAAAGTCCGCTTTATATGTGTGATATGCTCGTATATAATAGATCGGGAGCATATAAGTGTGATGACGTAAAGCTCTTTAATACAAAGAAAGAAATAAAAGGAGTGTAAAAAGAAGGAAAACAAAGAAAACTAAACTTAAACAAAGAAAAAATCAAAAATCAAATCTAAACTCGACCTCTTTCTTACGTATAATCATGCTTTTATAACTTAATCATTCTTTATTGCCTCTTTATCACTGCTCACAAAGACTCTTGCGTATTAGCTCCGTTGCTCTTCCGTAAGGCCAAGTAATCGAATGACAAATCTATTTAGGCGCTTGATCTGGAGGCCGGACTCGGCCACTTTATTTAGTGAAAGCTGTTCTAAAGATCTCTTTGTGTAAGGCTTAAAGCGAAGTGGTGACGCTTCGAAGGTGTATCGCACGTAGAACTTCTTTAATCGACTGCCGGCAAATGTTCCGTTTAGCAAAGCCTCGTCCTCTTTTAGCTCTTTCAACTTGTAATATCTTTTTATATTTACCGACGAAATTTAGTAAAGGCTAAGCCACCGAAAATCCAGCTTCTTGACGTTAGACATATCTATTTTACGTATCGAGTCGTGCTTAAGGACCAAGTCACCTACTTTTAAGGGTCTGATTCGGAGGTTCTTTTTATTATCAAAAGCATCTTTTCCTTCTTAGCGGCAGCGGGTTTTCTTAAGTGTGGCTTCCGTAGCGTCTTCGTCTCGCATCCGGAACTAGCGTGCTCTTAATTCGATAAGCTTAGCACGATTAATTACTAGCTCTTGAAATAACGTAACTTAAGACTAGATTCGAATCTTAATCGGAAGCATTGCTTCTTTGCCGTATATTATATAAAAGAGAGTGAATCCGGTAAAAGTATACATCGAAGTGCGGTCGGCGAATAAGACGGCTAGCAATTGCGCAATCTAATCGGTGCCTTTAAGCTTACTTAATACGTCTTTAATTAGTCCGTAGCCGCGTTCTACTATTCTATTCGCTTAAAGGTGATATGCTAAGACCACGACTCGATTGATTTTTTAATTGTTAAGTAAGTCGATTACTTCCTTTTTAAACTCCGAACCTCCGTCGATTATCAGCTGAAAGAAAATCTTATAACGGCAAATAATGTCTTCTTAAATAAACTTAGCTACCGAGAGCGAGTCTCGAGTCCGAATCGCCCTCGCTTCGACCTATCTACTTATATCGTCTTTAGCAACAACTAAATAGCTCTTGCTATTGCGTGCAAGTAGATAAGTGATATCGATAGCTTAACGTTTTATTAAGCTATTAGATCGGGTAAGATGCAATAGCTCTTCAAGCCTATTAGCTGCTCGGTGCTAGTATTCTTTATAAGTCTTGACGAATCGTTTAACGTCCGTGTAGCATCCATTTTAGAAGTAGCGTTGAGATACACGATAGTAAGTTGATTCACGGCCCTTATAACTACTTTTATCGTAACAAGCCGTGATAATGTCCGTCTTAATCGAGAGCTTGTCGACTACTAATCGGAAAGGAAGACCTTTCGTCGAGAGTCTTTAAAGTTTCTTATCGTTCACCCCGTATTTAATAGCCTCTTTTTTAAACTTACGGCATTCTACTTTATTCAAGTCTTTAAGTCTTCGCAAGGTCGTTAAAAAAGTAGCTATCCGAATTGATTTTAAAGAGTATTCGATTAAGTTCAAAAGACCTTCGTAATCGTAGTCGTCGTCAGACTCGTTTAAGTTTGCATTCTCCGCTTCTTTTAAGCGTTAGAACATATCTTTGAAGATAGATTAGCGAATATCTACTAAAAGGTCCGTCGAAAGTCTTTCGGAGCCGTCTCGGGCTTTAATAAGTCTTAGGTCGGCTAGCAAGCTGTTATCGAACTTATTCTTATCCTCTTCGCTTGAATCATCGAAGTGCCGTAGCCGTCTCGATAATGCATCGGCAGCGGTATGATCCTTACCGAGGATATATCGGACCTTAAAGTCGAAAAGATTGATCTAAGCTAGCTAGCGTATAACCAAGGCCGAAGGTATATCGATAGCTCTTCGTCGAAGCTGAGCAACGAGCACTTTAGCGTCAGTTTCGAAGATAAAGTGCATTTCGATAATCTATAGCTTGAGTTTCTTAAGGACCTTAAGTACCTCGCGGCACTCTCGTTTAATAGCGTCGTAGTTTCGTTCTGCCTCCGTCTAAGCTTCGGATTCGTACCGAGCCGGTTGCACTTTATTAAAAGTAGTCTCGCGTTAGCCGATATATCTTCCTTATCCTTCCAAGCTAGCGTCCGTTCTTATTACTATTTCTTTGTTTTGGTCTTCGTAATCGATCTTGATCAGAACCGGAGCTGTCGTTAAAGCATCTTATAATATTCGCATAGCTTTCGAATGCGCTTCGGTCCATTGTTAATCTACATCTTTTTTTGTAAGGTTGTAAAGAAAGTCAGTAATGTATGCGAATCTTTTGACTTAGATGCGAAAGTAAAAGCAAAAGCTTAGAAATCCTTTAACTTTAATAACGTTTTCGAAGGTTTTTTAATTATTAATCTTAATAACTTTATCCGCAGCGGGTTCTCGACTTTTCGAATTGCATACGAATCTTATTATATTCATCTTATCCCGGCAGAACTATAACTTTTCTTTAATTGTAGCATTAGCGCGCTCAATCCGTTCTAAGGTCTTGTCGATGTTCTAGATGTGTTCGAGCACGAATCGGCGTATATCCGGGAGTGCTTCTTCGTCGGAATAGTCCGTTTATAATCCTTTCACTTTAATATCGTCGACAAATAATATAAAGACCTTAGGTTGCAAAGGCCTTAAGATAAGATTAATTATTCGGACGAATTGGGCCACCGAGTTTATAGCACTTTACGGAAAGGTAGTGCATCGGAAAAGACCTAGCGGTGTAAAGAAAGCGGTAAGGTCCTTACTCGATTGATAGAGTGTTTGCTGATCATAGCCCGAATAAAGGTCGACTAAGCTAGCTATCTAGCAACTAAAAAACTCTTTAGCAAACTTATCTATAGTTAAGGGTAGATTAGCGTCCCTCCGTGTAATTGCATTGAGTAAAGTTGCTAAGTTGATGAGTCGGTACTGGCCCGGCTGCTTTTTGGCTATTAAGAACTATTGATTCCGGTACGGTCCTTCGCAATACTTTAAAACTCTTTTATCTAGCTTGTCTTAAAGCATTTTGATAACAATAAGCTGTAAGGCTTTCGGACACGAGTAGTTAGGAGCCTGCTAAGCCGTGTATAAAATGGTTTTGAGCTTAGTCGGTGGTGATACGTCGTCGTAGAACCTACCGCACTCTTGCTAAGCGAATGCGATTGATTTTTCTTTGCTTAACATCATCTTCTTAAACAAATCCCTTTTTTTAAGCCGTAATGTATTACCGACATCTAAGTTCGCTATGCGTTCGAGTGTAATTCGAAAGCTTCTCGGTATGTCGGCAATGCGCGGAAAGAAGTATTGCTTGTATTCTTTTACTTGCTCTTATAGCGTATCTTTAGCTTTCGATAGCTCGTATTAATCAACCTTGCTACCTGGTGCTGCTTTTACGCCGTCTGCTTCGTTAACTAGCTTGATCTTTTTATCTTTGGTCTTATACATGCCGAACACTTTAGCTAAGTCCGAAGAGATCTCTTTTCGAGTCCGATAAAGTGTCGAATTCTAATAGTCGATATAATCGTAGCAGCGGATCATAAGGTTATCGGTGCTAACGGCATCTATCTAGCAAGTTATTAAAGGATCGCATAGATCGTATTCCGTAAAAGCAAGAACATCGATAAACTGCTCTTAAGTAGTAGAATCGTCTTTCCCTCGATGCTGCAACGTTTCGCCCTCGAAATTAAGCGAAAAGCAAGAAGCTTTTAGTGTACCGACTTCGGCGCTTCTAACGAAGCCGATCACTAGTTTTCCGAGTCGCTACCGCTGCTACTCGAAGACTCATCGTGGTAAATAAAGCTTATACTCTATTCTTTTAAGCGATCGACGGCTTCGTCGTATTGATTCGTCTTATCGCTCACTTTAGCTTGAGTAACTTAGCCCGTAGACGGATCAGTAACCATAGCAATAACAAGGCTACCTTTATAGTCCGAAAGGTATCGAAGACCGATTCTTGCTTTGCGTATGAAAAGGTAACTAAGTATAAGTCGAAACCTTAGCGAATCTATAACGTAAAATCGAGTACGGATCGTAGCACCTCCGATGTTAATAAACACATTATCGGCGTATCCGATAAAACGCGATAGTAAACCGATGATTATTCGGAAGCTTATCTTTTGGTCGTAAGCTATAAAGACCTCGAATTTAACCGCGGCGTCGTAAGTAATAACGCTGACCTCCGCACTTGTATCGAGTGTAGCCCGCGCATTAATGATAAAAGACTATCCGAGAATACTAACGATGACCTTAAGAGTTAGCGAATGATAATAAAAGTATCTAGAGAATAGCTAGCCGAACGTCGAAGCAAGGCCGATTTCCGCCGAAAAAGGTTCCGTATCACTTTCGTTTGCGGTTCGCAAAGTACGCCGATCCTTACGAGTAAACCAATCGAAAAAGAGATATTAGAACTAAAAAACACCGTAAAATATAGTTGTAAAAAGAGTCGGAATAAAGCCGATAATAAGAATAAAGCAAAACCGTCTTTAAATCGAAAGAGATTCGAGCGCGAAAAGCGTATTGCGTCGGCGGTGCTTCGTTTAGCTGCTACAGATGTTCTTTTGCAATTAAGGCCTGGTCATCCAAGAGAATTCGAATAAGCGTCTAAGCCAAGACCGCTAAGCAATAGCATTCCGATATAAGATCCGTCTTAGCCGAATAGAGACCTGTGTAAAGTCTGCCTTTCCAGTGATTCGGCCGTGAGTCGAAGTAGCAAAAGAAAGAGAAAAGGGTAAATTCTTGCGATAAAGCGCTTCACTGATAAAGCGACTCGTTACTCTGCAAAATAAATCGCTATTAAATAAAAAGATATTATCTTCTTTTTAAATAAGTCTCTGAAGCCTCGAAGTAAGTCCGTCTTTTACCGGATCATCCGTCGCTTTCGGTATAAGCTTGCTACTTATGATCAGGCAATCCTCCGAAGCTTCCGCAACGCTAACCGTAGCTTAAAAGCAGTTAATAGCGCTTTCGCTAATAAGGGTTTGCTGAATCATCTTATCGATCATACTTTCGAAAGAAGATCGTTTAAAAGTAAAAAGAGCAGCGAAGAACGCAATAGTCTTACTAAGAGTTAGGTTCCTTGGCAAATCGCGCCTTTTTAAGAGCTCAATACGAGTCGCTTCGTAGTCCATTCCTAAAGAAAAGATCACCTTGCCAAGCCCTTCGTATGATTTAGCAGTCTTAGAAGGCTTGGCCTTAAGCTTAAGTGCAGCTTTAAAAGCTTTTAGCAGTGTGACGGGCAGATTCCGTAAGTCCTCCGGTCGTAAAGCGTTTCGATTAAGAATCGCGGTGTAAGCGGGCTCGGGTTTATCCATTTCTATTAGCTTAGCGAAAGTAACCTTAAGCTAGCTATAAATGGATTAGACTTTTGCTTTTGCCGAAAGAGCGTCTTTTGGCGGGTATAGCGTAACTCGAAAAGCCGCGTTGCGCGCTCGAGTCTTTACCGATATAATAATAGCTTCCGTATTAAACACGCGGGTATATAAATCCGTTAATATGATGCATCGTTAGCGAATCATGTCCGAAGTATTAAAATCGTTAATACGAAAAGCTTCCGCACTGCCGCCGTTAGCTGCTCGAATAAGCGCTTTGGCACGTTCTCGTGCAGCCTCTTTAATAGATTCTCGTTGTGCTTTTAAAGCTTTATGACGACGCTTAAAATTAAGATCATTTATTATCTTACGAACCTTTTTTAAAACTTGCTCGTACTTAAAGGTGTCGTTTCGAAACTGAAACGAGATCGATAGTATTTCCTTTCGATACGATCTTACACACATCAAGTCCGCTTCGTTAAAGTGAAAGGCTAGTCCGTACTAAAGCATAAACAAGTAGCATTGATTCTAGTATTTATAAGGCTTTTGTTAATAGCTAAGTAGATCAGAAGTCTGCTAGCACTAACAGAAAATACAATTAGAATCGTTTAAAGACCGTTTCCTTTTCGATATAACGTAGCCTCGGTTCGAATAAGTATCGGCCGCATTGATCTCGTGGACCCGGTGCAAAGCAATTTCTTAAGTCTTTCCGTATTAAGCAGCTTCTAATAGGTTCACATAAGCCTCTTTCGGTACGAAAGCAAAGCTGTCGGTGAGTCTTAAGTAAATACTAACCTTCGCTAACTATTCCGTAAGAGCTTCGATCTTTAAGTCAAGATCGATGAACAAAGTAATCGAACTCGCAGCGGTAGTGCTTGCGCGATAAGAAAGAAGAAGATAAGTACTACTAGAATAAGTGCTATAAGAAAGCGAAACGTATAAGTTCCGCTTGCTTTCGAGAATGACAGACGGTACTTAAAGACGAGAGTTCTCGTTTTAATAAAGGTCATAGCGAGAAAAAGCTTTAAAGATCTCGGCGTAGCCGTATTCTTTAATCCGTTTCGCAATGATCTGTTCTTGCTTAATAAGGTCGCTAACTATAATATATACTATATTATACGTTTGCAAGTGATCTTCCTTAAGTTTGACGTTCTTTTAAGTCCGATTTTATATCGATAATAGTAAGCAACCGAAAAACTTCCACTTTAGTTGCTTATCGGTAATATCTCTATTAGCGAAGCAAGCAAAGCCCGTAAAGTTAAACTAGCGAATGAACTGTAAAAGCTCTGCCTTAGAAGCTCCTTCCCTTGCTATCTACTTATTGTTCAAGTCGTTCAAAAAGCCAATATTATCCTTCTACTTAGCTAGGTCGAAAGCCTTGTACTCCTCCCTCACCACCGATTTGAAGTCGTCCCAGGTCACCTTCGGGTTCGAAAAGCCGCCGAGGCTCTCGATATTGCAACGGATGTTATAACCGAAAGGGCTAGAGATATTATATTCAGCAAAGCACTGCTTCTTCTTCGAATCGGTAACGATACCGTAGTCTTTAAACGCTCGTTCGAGCTAGCGAATATAGTCCGTAATATTAGCTTTGTCGAAAGCAAGCATTCCAAAGGCTCTAAGTCTAAAAAGAAGTCCACGGATACTCACGTAGTTCGAGGCATTTACGAAAGGTAAGAAAGCCTGAATCCTTTTCACTTCGTCCTCGGTTAGCTTGCGAGTAGCATCTTCGTTAAGTCCGAAGTCTTTTTAAGTCGAAAAAGTCATAGCTCTTTTTGATTTCCGAAAGTTCTAACGTAAAGCCGCTAAGTTAAGTAGATAGATATCGATTAAAATGTAAAAGTGTCTCGAAACGAATGCGAAAAAAGAACGAGAATGATGTGAATGATATGAATGTGAATGTGAATAAATAACAGAAATGAAATAGATACAATTTATAATGAATGTTAAATACACAAAGAAATGTTATAAAGATATAAGATCCCGATACGTCGAAGGTGATTTATTAAAAAGTCGAGTATCGATCGCTTCGAGTTAAATAGTCGAAACTAAATCGATATAATAGATGATATTAGTAATACGTTTAATTCTTAAACGTAAGATCCGAATAAGCGGAAGAGTAATTGCCGAGATTGAGTATATCGAAATAAAAACGAGGTCGGTTACTAGCCGAGCTTCCGTGCAAGCATATAGCCTGCTTCTAGTATAATGCGACACCGAAACGGTTCCGAATTGCATAACACTTATTTCCGCTCGTCGTATCTTTTATTTGCCGAAGCGAAAGATGTTCGAAAGCAAATCGAGATCTTTATACGTAATCTCCGTTGCGAAATAAGTGTTGAATTTTCAACCTTTTAGGCTTAGCGTAGTATTTCCGGTACTTAGCTATTGCCTACCTTCTCAAGGAAGAAAGAGCAACAGACTCGTACCAGAATCGATGTTGAATCGAAAGAGGTGAAGTATACCAAACGAATAGTACTTCGAGCGTATCGCCGTGCAAAGTGGCTTAAGTGAATAGAACTTTGTAGATACCGAATTGAACTTTAGCTAGCTCGATCTCCGAACTAAAGTAACGACTTCTTGAGTAGTACTTATCGAGTATACCGAATAGCATGCTTGACGGACACAAATCGAAAGAAGATCGCTTTTAAAGCAATAGCTTCGAAGCTTATATGCAAAAGCACTTGATTGTTAGCCTAGCGTATATCGAATACTCTTTAAAAGAATACCGCAAAAGCATATAGTCAATAGCCTAGCGTATGACGTGGACTCCGAATATATAGCTTCTCGCAAGGGAAGCAAGTCTGAAAGGGGTATAAAGACCAACCTTTGATTCGATTCCTTGCGTAAGTCATCAAATATATATGGAAGAGAAGAGCTTCGACATATACCTAACGTCAAATCAAGAGATATGTATGAATATAGCTATAATAGAATCGTAAGTGAATAAAAAGGGAAAAGGAGGACGATCGAAGGACACTCGAATGTGTGCTGTGAGTACGTGTATTGTATTGTGTAATGATATGATGGTGCTGGTTCAAGGAAGAACCAACTACTCGTCTATATAAGAGCCTGCACGTGACCTAACCACGTGCCTAGCAGGGCCAGAGCATGCAGCGCACCCACGTGACAAAGGTGCCTAGCATCAGTATTATATACATGGACAAAACAAATACAGAGCCCCAACTCCACCATAATAGAAAGAATAATAAAGGTAATAATGGACTTGGTACGTAAGGGTGGCACGTGCACCCGCGGTCCCCTTAAAGGACCGCCACTACTAGTATAGCAATACCAGACATCTACAACACAACTAATACCTAAACCGATAGTACTATCAAACACTTGTGTACCAACATTGTACCAACAGAAAGCGACAGATGATCCGATAAAAAACGGACTTGCTTTAAAGCTTTAACGATTTATTTAAAAAGAAAGTAATATCTTTTTATTTAATAATAATCCATTTTATAAAATTACGAATCGCTTTATTGATAAAGCGCTTTATCGCAAGAATTTACTTTTTCTTTTTTCTTTTGCTGCTTCGACTTACGGCCGAATCATTAATAAAGCGAATTTTATATAAATCTTTGCTCGATTAAAACGGATCTTATATAAAAATGCTATTGCTTAACGGTTTTAACTTAAACGCTTATTCGAATTCTTTTAAATAATTAAGCTTTAATTACAAAAGAATATCCGTAGCAATTAAATTAAGTACCGCCGACGCAATACGCTTTTCGTACTCGAAGCTTTTTCGATTTAAAAACGGTTTTGCTTTATTTTTATTATTAGCTTTGTTCCGATTCTTTTTATAGCCGTGTTCTACGATGTTTTTTAGTTCTAATACCTCTTTCTCGACTAATTTACTCGTAAAGATCGGCGTACGCTGCGGACCGCAATCGAGAATAATACGAAACCTTTTTCGGCGGAAATCGATTTAGCTTCGACATTTAGCTAATTATTTTTTAAATACTCTTATTATTATTCGCTAACTTTTAAGGTCATCGTTAATATACTCGAATAGTCTTTTATTATTAATGCGCGAGCTACACTCGATACAAGTGCGGAAGTTAACGTTATTATTTATAACGCCGCGATTAAATTCGAAATTCTTATAGCTTATGTAGTGCTTACTAGCACTAAGATCAGGAAGAGATTTTGTGGATTGAATGAAGCTTGGTATATTCTATTTAAGAAGTTCGTTAAGATCTATGTATATATACTTGGGAGCTCTAGTATGCTAAGGGCGCTATTAAGCGAGGTCATATGATATGTTATATATAGCTTGGATGGAACTATGCTTATTCCGCACAATACACTTTTTAAGTTAACAGCGTAGCTGCTGAGCTGCAAGCAAACAGAAAAAATAAGTAATTAAGCTTTTTAAACTCGATGTAAACAAAAGAGATTGTTATCGCAATTTAAAACAAATAAATAGCGGTTGTTATTATTGATTAAGTGTTAGTTAAGAATGCAATTCTTTTTTAAGTCGGTCTTATTACGTAGCGGAGGTCTTTAACGCTGTCTTTATCGCGTTGCTATATAAATAAGAGCGCGTCCGTTTCTATTATAACAAACACTTAACTTTTATTTATTTATATAATGCTTTTCAAGCAAGTAACTTAATCTAATAGAATCGTTAAGCGCGGTCGAAGCTGTTTAAAAGTAAGTGCTTTTAATAGATTAATATTTTTATGCTAATTATAAAGAGAATCTTTTGTTTGCTTTAGTTATTGCTATTTGTTGTGCGGAACAGGCATGGTTCCACCCAAGCTACATGTGACATGTCATGTGACCTCGCCTAGTAGCGCCCTTGGCACACTGGAGCTCCCAGGTACATGTACATAGATCCTGACGAGCTTCCTAGATAGAATATACCAAAGCTTCATTCAATCCACAGAATCTCCTCCTGATCTTAGTGCTGGTAAGCACTACACTATTGCTATAGCTGCGGCGGCTGCGGCGGTTATACTTCGCACTTTTACTTTCGAACCTTCGCC